ATGAGAGGCCCGCGTACAGCAAAAAAAAAAAAAAAAATTATAATAACATTACAAATCAATTTACAAAAACTCCAAACAGTATCTAGAATAAACTTTATATTTTGAGAATATAGCAATAAAAAGGAAATTACTACATACACACATAACATATAATGAAATTTATTTATGAATGTTTAGATGCATACACTTGAAAGTTACCAAATAGGATAAAAAATACATTAAAAGAATATATGGCATTATCAAGTGGAGCTTACTCAAGAATTTAAGGATGTTTTAATATCATGAAAACCATAAATATAATCATATTAGGTAACTTAAATGATTAACACTATATGATTATATCAAAAGATACCAATTCCTACCCAAAGCTTCTAATAAACAAGAATAAAGGATGTTATTTCCCTTATTATAATAGAGAATATTTGTTTAAAACCAATAATTAACTTCATATTAAATGAAGAAATATCCAAAAATACCTTATTACAATTTTATTTAACAAAAAGATATAATAGAAATACATAAGACAAATATTTTTGCAGCTACAATTTTATATTTAAAAAAAAAAAACCAGGGGCTTCCCTGGTGGCGCAGTGGTTGAGAGTCCGCCTGCCGATGCAGGGGACGCGGGTTCGTGCCCCAGTCCGGGAGGATCCCACATGCCGCGGAGCGGCTGGACCTGTGAGCCATGGCCGCTGAGCCTGCGCGTCCGGAGCCTGTGCTCCGCAAACGGGAGAGGCCACAGCAGTGAGAGGCCCGCGTATCGCAAAAAAACAAAACAAAACAAAACAAAACACCACCATAAAAAAAAAAAAAAAAAGCCATCTAATACTGTTAGAACAAAGACAACTCACCTAAAGACAAATATTTTGAAAATCAATAGCATTCTGAAGATAGAGATTCCATACTTAGTAGCAATACAGATATATTTAGCCAAGAAAGAATTTATGCAATAAGGGATATTCATGACCTAGACAAAAACATGAACAAATTATAATGAAAGAAATCAAGAAATACGTTAATGATGAAGACTTAATTCCTTGATGGAAAGAATTAGTATCATAAACATAAGTCATAAAGAGTTAATTTTAGACCTAGACAATTCAAACCAAAGCATCAAAAGGATGTTTACCTTATATAACACATTCCTTAGGGAAAAAAAGATCCTTTGAATACTAAAAATATGTGAGGAGAAAGAGAATCAATGAGAACAATATGATACTGAATCAACAGATTCAAATGCAGAGTTTAATTCATTATACGGCAAAAAATATTTAACTACCAAGTGTTATAATTACCAAAAAAATAATGTTTTTGTTCAAAGCCGGGGAATAAAAGCATTGCAATGCAATGTACTAAGTGCTAGAGCTTTGAGAACACTAGGAGAGCTGCCTGTCTTGGGGTCAGGAAAGGCTAACCTGACACTTTAAATAATCTAATTTTGCCAGGTTTTGAGGCAGGAGGAGGGAAGGAGTGGCACTTATAGGGAGCATCATTTACAAATAGAGAGTCACAAGATAAAATGGCACATTCCAAAAACTGCAAGTAGGTCAATACACGCAATATTGGGCTGCATTTTAAGAACTCAATTAAAAGTCAATATTTTAAAATCAGAAAATTTCTCATAAAAATTTCTGGATTTGTGGCTGCTTTTGACAAACTGGATGATACGTCAAATTGGGCTCCGCATTCCCACGTGGAAGCAAGAGGCAGTTGTCCCTTTTAGATGGGACAGTTTGCCACAGCACTTCCTCTCTTCTCCCATTCCTCTCACATCCACCTCACTTTATCCATTTACCTTAACTTTCTAGTCCCTGTAGGGATTTGAGTTTTATGACTTGCATCCTCTGTGATGGGGACCAATGAAGGTTATGGCAGAAAAAAGCAATACGATTAGGTCTGCATTTCAAAAGGTCAACCAGGCAGCAGGGGGAGAGAGGGGTGGTAAGGAGATCAATGACATCCACAAAAGCCTATTATATTAAAAATTACAATGGGGGTACCATCCTTGAAGTGGAATAGGGGTCCATCTCGCACTTCCTACAAAAAATCTCACAAGACAGACTTGAAAACCACTGAGTTATGAAGCTGTAAATTAAATGCAAGAGGTGATGAGGGTTTAGAAAAAGGCAGTGTGTTGGGGGTGGAAAGAAAGGGCTAGAGAGGATAAAAATTTGCAAGATTTTTAAAGTGGAAAATCCTGCAACACGGGGTAACCAATCTGACACAGGGAATAAGAAGAAAGGAAAAATATAGGACAATTTGCAGGTTTTTGGCTTAAGTCATTTGGTGCTGACACTCCAAAATAAAGAACAAAAGGAGGAACAAGTCTGGAGGAAAGTCAGTCATTCAATTTAGGGTATTTGGAATTTGTGAAGCCTACAGATGTGCAGCTTCATCTCATAAGCCCTGATAAATTGCCAAAGAAACTCTAACCTGATAACTCTCTAACAGCTGAATCATCAAATTAAAATAAGAGACAGGTATGATTACATAAAATGTTTTTATAGGATGAATACCAATGGAACTAAGATTAAAATGGAATATTATAGAATTGAATAAAATATTGCAACAAAGATTACAAAGGGTCAATAACTTCATATATAAAGGCATAATTATAAGATATATAAAAAGAGGGGCTTCCCTGGTGGCACAATGGTTGAGAGTCCGCTTGCCGATGCAGGGAACGTGGGATCGTGCCCCGGTCCGGGAAGATCCCATATGCCTCAGAGCGGCTGGGCCCATGAGCCATGGCCACTGAGCCTGCGCGTCCGGAGCCTGTGCTCCGCAACGGG